GCAAGGGTCAGAGTGACTGACAGTATCTAGCTTTGCCACAGAGGCAGGGAAATGGGTTGTCATCCCTGGCCGGGGAGGGATGTATACATTGGCACCCATTTGTGAGGCTATTTGGCAATATCAGTCACGATTTGAAATCTGCATAGCTTTCACCTGGCAATTTGTCTTCTAGGAATTTTATCTTCCAGAGGTACTCGCATAAGGGCACAAGCTACATGAACAGAGACGTCCTTTGTGGTAGCGTTTTGTTATGTTGAAAAGTCAGAAGCAACTCTGAATGTCCAACAGTACAACTGGCCAAATACATATCAGCTGACCAACCATCCCAGTGTGCCCAGGGCCATCCCGGTATTAGTACTGAAAATCCCAGGTTCTGGGAAACCCTGTAATCCCCTCTAAATGCACCAGGGTGTGGACAGGCAGAGAAATGCTACAAAGCCATGAAAAATGGCATGTGGGTCTCTGTCCCACTGTGGAAGATGTTCATGGGACAGTAATGAAATTAAGCCAGATGCCAAGTTGCGAGTGGCAGGTATGGCAGGACTGGATTTGTGTGTGGATTTGATGCATGTAGCTTCCACCTCTCCGCATGCGCAGAGGGCCCGGGCGTGGGAACCCGGAGCAGGCGGTTCACAGACGCCTCTCTGGAGCCTGGGGTGGGAGGGGTTGCTACTTTTTGCTTTAAATCCCATTGTGCCATTGGCTTCATTTTCTTTGTGTGTGCATGGATTTTATAATTAAAAAAATATTTCCTAAAGGAAGTGCGACCTTGATCTGCAGTGAAAGGCAGGTGGGTGGGGCTGTGGTCACGGCCGCAGTAAGGCTGACTCGGGGGTCCAAGGCTGCTGAAGCCTTTAGCAAGGGAGGGAGATCGGAGCGGGAGGGGCATCCCAGAGTCAAGGTCCGGGGCAGGCAGAGGCCACGGACTCCTCCCCTGGGGTGGAGCCCTCGCCCGGGGCCAGCTTCTGGCAGCCGCTCTAGCCCCTCTTGCGGCAGGCAGCCCCTGTCTCAACCAAAACACCGCCAGCCTGGGATTGTTAAACAAATTGACTGGCTGGGCCCTGAGCCCGGCTAATTCCTGTGTCTTAATGAGTGGGAAGATGAGGTTTTATTCATCACTGGGGCTTTAAAAATTGCAGTAAAGTGGCCCACTTTATAAAGAAAAAATCAATAGCAAAAAGAAAACAGGAGTATGTAAATGGACAGGGTGACAAAAAGCAGGCCAATTACCCCAAAATGAGACGTAGTTATGGCTCCATTAACTCAATTATATTTTCAAAAGGATTTCTTACGAGGCCCCCGCCCCACCCCACCCGCACACGCCTGTAATTTTTACATCAAATTCAAGCCATTAAATTGCATTAAATTATTTTGTGGGAGAGAGAGGCGTGTTTGGGAAGACAGAGCTGCGGGCGGCCCTGTCCGGCTCCAGTGGGGGGACGGGGATCAGGGCAGGCAGGCAGGGAGCCCCCACGAGGGCCCGTCCAGGGGGCAGGCTCCAGCGATTCAGTCCCGGGAGGTGAGAGGAAGAGGAGCCGTGGGCTCTCCTGGGTGTGGAAGACCAGGGCCCAGTTGGGGACAGCCAGGCACTTGGTCATTCCCAAGCCCCTAAGTCCCCATGACATGTTTATCTCCAGATGGTTCCCTATGCTAATCCACACCCCCAGATGAGCAGCCCCAACTATGCCAGCTCACACGTGGGCACGTAACCTTGCTGGCTTCCTGAGTTTTTGTTTGTTCCATCAGAGTTAGAAAATTTAAGTTTGGAGATAGGGAAAAATAAAGTTGTATAAAAACACGTCAGAATGGGGGACTACTCGGGTGTGTTTGAGGCCTATCCTGTTTCTTTCTTCTTTTTTTTTTTTTTGAGACGGAGTTTCACTCTCGTCACCCAGGCTGGAGTGCAATGGCGCGATCTCGGCTCACCGCAACCTCCGCCTCCTGGGTTCAGGCAATTCTCCTGCCTCAGCCTCCTGAGTAGCTGGGATTACAGGCACGCACCACCATGCCCAGCTAATTTTTTGTATTTTTTTTTGGTAGAGATGGGGTTTCACCATGTTGACCAGGATGGTCTCGATCTCTTGACCTCGTGATCCACCCGCCTCGGCCTCCCAAAGTGCTGGGATTACAGGCTTGAGCCACCGCGCCCGGCTTCTTTCTTCTTTTTGAGACGGAGTCTTGCTCTGTTGCACAGGCTGGAGTGCAATGGCATGATCTTGGCTCACTGCAACTTCCGCCTCCCAGGTTCAAGCCATTCTCCTGCCTCAGCCTCCCGAGAAAATGGGATTACAGGCACCCACCACACACCTGGCTAATTTTTATATTTTTAGCAGAGATGGGGTTTCACCATGTTGGCCAGGCTGGTCTCGAACTCCTGACCTCAGATGATCCACCTGTCTTGGCCTCCCAAAGTGCTGGGATTACAGATGTGAGCTGCCACGCCTGGCCTGATGGGTATTCTTCATACCACTCCTTGCAGGCACAGAGTGAGTCCCCAGAACTCAGGGCTTTGAAGTGACACTGGGCATGACTCACTTGTTCAAGCAAGGATCACCCTGCCCATGCTGGGGAGGCCGTGAAATCCCAGAGTCCATGCACAGCTCCTGGCTGGTTCTATAAATGTGCCCAGCCCTGAGGCGGTGACTGTAACCTGCTTTTCCCTGTCAGTCAGACCCTGGGGAGCTCAGGCCTGCCCTACATAAGTCTGCACCTGGGCCACACCGGCCTGAGCAGTTAATATCATGGAGTGCAGGCAGAGTGGAGGAGGAGGAAGAGCTGAGATGTGCAGACGACCCGCAGACAGATCCCTGGGCAGAACGCTAAGGGCCACATGGCCAGGGTCGGTGGCGGTCAGGGAATATAAACCCACGGCGATGGACAAACGGTGCAGAATTGGGCTGAGCAGTGGGACTGGGGGGATCCTGAGGCGAGAGCCAGGGCCCCTCCAGGGCTCAGGCCCAGGGAGCCAGGGCTGGCACAGTGATGCTTAAACCACAAAACAGAAGAAAACAAATCTGCCCATTCTGCCTTCTGGATGTCACACCCATGGGGCCAGAGGACCTGCACGGGACAGGGCCCAGGGCCCAAGGAGTGGGCTGCCCTGGGCAGAGTGTGCAGGCCAGTTCTGCAGGGCTCCCCTACAGGGTCCCTAGGGCGCCCGCCCTGCCAGGAGCTTTAGGAGCAGCAGTGAGGGAGGAGGGAGAAGGCGGCCAAGGCAGAGGGACCGGCTCCCGCAGGGCTGACGGCTCTGCATGGCCGCTTCAGGTCCTCCAGCCCCTGCAGCCTCCATTCTTGCAGAGCGCCCCAGACTGGCAGAGCCCATGCAGCTGCAAGACGGTCCCCACTTCCCTGGCAGCCAGCACACCCTCAGACCCAGTGTGAGGGCCTGGGGCAGCAGACTGACAGGGTTAGGTGGGGAAAGACCACTTGCATGATGTGCGCAAGTGTGTATATGTGTGTACATGTGTGCACATGTGCATGTGTATGCATGTACATGTTTGTGTGTGCATGTTTGTGTGTGCATGTGTGTGCATGTATGTGCGTATGTGTATGCGTGTATTGTATACATGTGTGTGCATGTGTACCTGTGTGCATGTATGTGTGTATGTGTGCATGTGTGTGCATATATACGTGTATGTGTATGTGCAGGTGTGTGTTCGTGTGCATGCGTGCATGTGTGTTCATGTATGTGTGCATGTATGTGTTCACGTGTGTATGTCTGTGTGTGTGCGCATGCATTGTGTGTGTGCATGTGCGTGTGTGTTCATGTGTATGTGTGCATATGTGCATGTGTGTTCATGTGTGTGTGTGCATGTGCATGCATTGTGTGTGCATGTGTGTGTATGCATGTATGTGTGCATGTAAGAGACAATGATACACCCTCAACTCTCGTTGCCCCCACACCAGCCCCTCAGGGGAGCCGTGGACCCCAGTGTGTGCTCCCAGGTGGACGGCGAGGCCACTTAGAACAGCCCTCATCCACGCAACACCTTGGAGGATCCCAGGGCAGGAGAGTCGGTGCCACGTGCTGGGCCCAGAAGAAGGTCTGGGAGGTCCCAGGAGAGGGAGTAACACCTGGGGCTGGGCAGGGCAGGGTGAGGGGAGGCTGAGGCTGGAAAGAGGAGAGACCTGGGCAGTTCTGGGTCCCCAGAGGCCTCAGCTGGGGGCGCTGCCGGGTGCTGGGGAGAGCGTGGGTGGGTCCATCCCCACAGCCCTGCCCTGCTCTGCCAACGCTCCTTAGCCTGTGCCTTGTTACCACCCCAGGCCTCAGGTCCTCCCCACCCTCCTGAGCCTCAGGGACCCCCTCTCAGCCCCCAGCCCTTAGGACAGAGCATGGCTGTCCTCCCTGGCTGCCCGCCACCCCTGGGCTGGAGCGCCAGCCTCCTTCCCACTCCCTCAGCCTGTCCGTCATCTGCCTGCTCCTGCTGGCGAGTGGCCTCTTGGCCATGTGCTGAAAGAGCCATTGTTCAGGAGGGGATGGAGGGGAGGGCTGGCTGGTCAGGACTGGGTACGGGTCAGACTCTGGCGTGTGCCAGTGGGTGGACTCGGCTGTCCCCTGGGGCCAGCCTGGCCGCCCGAAGGACCCAGGGGCAGCGTGGGGCGGGGGGGAGGCCTGAGTGAGTGGAGAGGCCTCAGGGAGCTCAGAGGCTGCCCCTCCTCTCAGCGCCTCGCTCCCCAGCTGAGCCCGAGGGCGGTGGAAGAAGCTGCATTTTGCCCGGTCAGCTGCTGCAGCCTCTTGTCCAGTGGAGACCCTGGGGGAGGGACGCACGGGGCTCCCTGTGCGACCAAAGAGGCACTGGAGAAGGGGCTTCCCCAAGGCAGCCTGAAGCCTCTGGCTGGCAGCAGCTGGGAGCCTCTGCTTGGGGAGCAGCCATCGTGGCGTGGCCCCTGCGTGCCGTGGCTCCTGCATGCCGTGGCTGTAATGCAGTGCTCTGGGGCTGGCAGGGCCTGGGTGGGGGGACCAGGCAGAGCTGGACACCGGGGAGCCTCCCTGGGCAGCCTCCTGAGCCTGCTGGCCTCGCTGGTCTTAGCCATAAGATGGGTTGAGAGAGGGCAGAGGCTACCCAGCGGGACTGCGGTGAGCAGCATTTGAGCCAGAGGCCGACCTGGCTCTTCGAGGCTCCAGGAGGCCAGAGGTGCCTCCGCCATCAGAGGAGCCGGCCGCAGAGGCCTCCCACCCTGTTCCCCAGGCAGGGCCCCGTCGGGTGTTTCCAGGCCACCCGGCGCTGGGGGAGTTGCAGGTGCTGGGGTCACCTTGGAGGGGGTGCAGCCCGTCCGCATCGGCTCTGCGTGCCCCCTCCCCGCCCCCACAGGCTGGCGTGGCTGAGCCCGGGCTTCTCAAGGTGAGGAGGGTGTCCTTGAATGCCTGGCCCCCCCACACCAAGGTCTGTGCACCAAGGTCACGGCTGCGCAGGAAGAGGGGAGGGTGGCGGGAGGTTACGGTCTGGAGGGAGGAGGGAGGGCAGGCGGGAAATAAAAACAGATTACATTTTTTAAAAGGTACTCTAGCTGTCGGCTGACGCCGCCCTGGCCTCCATCCATTTTATAGCCTGACGGGCCTGAGCAGCTGGGCCTCGTCCGTCAGGGACATGCGAAGGGTGCAGGCCGGGAGTGGAGCTCCCGAAGGAGTCCTGGATGGGGGCCACCCCTCCCGGGGCCAGGGTTCCCTCTGGGGCTGTGCAGGCCCACAGGAGCCCAGCCCCAGGCCGGGCAGGGGTGCTGTGCGCAGGTGGGATGGGTGGAGGGAAGCTGGCCCGGGGCAGGCGGCCACTATCCGGGCCCATCTATCCCCCTGACAGGTCAATTTTCTCTCGTGTTTTACAGGAGCTTTCGGGGCAGGAAATGTGATCGGGCAGCTGATTTATCTCCTTACCTGGTCTTTGTTCACAGCCTGGCTCCGGCCCCCCACCCTGCTGCAGGCCGGAGGACGTCTCCCCAGGGGTCCCCACCTCGGCCTGCTCACAGGACTGTGCTGAGCCCAGCTGCTCTGTGAGATGAAGATAAGAAGTCACAGACGTGAAGGGCCTGCCTGGGGCAGCCTGGCTTCCCTGAGAGGGCTGCACCTGGCTCCCTCCTCCCTCTCACCAGCAGCCTGCAGGTGCTGAGGATGAATGAAGGGGCTGCGTGCAGGGGTGCGGGGATGGGAAAGGAGGGACTCCCATCCCTTCCTCCTCATCGTGTTTTCCATCTCTTAGGTCGACTTTGGTTTCTAGGACTTTGAGTTCTCTCCTGATCGTGGCAGAGTCCTCAGATCACTGGTACAGACAAGACTGGCACAGGGACCTGCTCAGCTCAGCCTGTGCCCTCCGAAGGAGGGAGGTTGGGGGCCTCAGCGGCCACCCTGTCCACCTCTTGAAATAGTGAATGTCCTTCATCTTCAGACAACAGGTTCTGGTCTTATTACAAGGTATGGAAGTGTTCAGAACAGTGCAGCTTCCCACGCCCCCACCTCTGCCAGGAGCGACCCCATCTCCCTCAAACAGAATTCTGGGAACCTGGGGCCAGGGAGTCTTCCTGTGCCTCCTCTGACAGCTCTGCATGAGTCTGCCACGCACTTGGGTGCCGGCCTACGCTATCAAACAGGCGGGACGCCAGCCTGCCCCACCCCACCCCAGCCCCGCCCCACCCCCACCCCACCCCAGCCCAGCCCCACCCTAGCCCAGCCCCAGCCCCACCCCAGCCCCTCCCCAGCCCAGTCCCATCCCCGCCCCAGCCCCAGCCCCAGGCCCAGTCCCAGCCCCACCGGAGCCAGAGCTCCCTGTGCAGAAGCCTCTGCCTGGTGTGCAGGTGTCCAGGACACACCAGTCATTTGAGTCCCCGTCAGAGGCAAACACACACACAAGTCCTTGCAAGCCAGGGCTGTGCTGGCATCTGCGAGAAGAGGGAGTCCCGGGCCTGACCACAGGGCTCCCTTGACAGGGGAGATGCTAACTCGGCCTCCTGTGGGGGCTATCATGGGGTGCGCTGCCTCCTTGGAGACCCCACTCCTGGGCACGGGGTTCTGCCGAGACACTGGCAGGAGGCCACCCACAGCTAAGTGGTCTCCTCGCGCAGCAGGAAGCCCCAGACCAGCCCTAAGGGAACTTCCCAAGGCTCGGCAGGTGCCTCTGCCGCCATCCCCCAGGTCTTCTCCCGGCCCCTCTCCCAAGCCTTGAGTCATGGCTGACACTTCTAGAAAAGTCTTTACTGAGTAACTGGCTGGCTGCATGGGTGGTGGGGAGTGCAGTTGCCCAGGGCCTGGAATTGGAGGGGCCTGTGGTGAAGGCTGTCCTGAAATTTTTAATCGTTTTACCTCTGAACTTTTTATTTTTTTGAGGCAGAGTCTCACTCTGTTGCCCGGGCTGGAGTGCAGTGGTGCCATCTCAGCTCACTACAACCTCCACCTCCTGGGTTCAAGCAATCTTCCTGCCCCATCCTCCCAAGTAGCTGGGATTACAGGTGGGTGCCACCATGCCTGGCTAATTTTCGTACTTTTAGTAGAGGCGGGTTTTCACCATTAGTGGCCAGGCTGGTCTCGGACTCCTGGCTTCAAGTGATTCTCCCACCTCGGCCTCCCGAAGTGCTGGGATTACAGGCGTGAGCCACGGCGCCCAGGCTGAATTTGTGAGGTTTGATGGGATGGTGGAGTGTGCCCACGAAATAAACAGATGTGGCGGCTGCCATTCCTCGAGGCCACATTTGCAGAGCCCACGGTGCTCCGAGAGCGCTAGATCCAGCGGCTCCTCAGCTCGAGGGGGGTTCAGTGAGACACGAGTTGAGGACAAGGGTGACGTGCCCAGGAGAGGGGTGGGGCTGCACTTCCGTGAGAGCCAGAAATCACTCCAATCACAGAAAGGCCACTAGTGGCCTGAGTGGTTCATGCCTGTAATTCCAGCACTTTGGGAGGCTGAGGAGGGAGGATGCCTTCAAGACCAGCCTAGAAAATATAGGGAGATTCCATCTGTATACACACACAGGTGTGCACACACGCACGCACACACACACAGACACCTAGCCAGGTATGGTGGCTCTCGCCTGTAGTCCCAGCTACTCAGAGGCTGAGGTGGGAGGATCACTTGGGACCAGGAGGTCAAGGCCGCAGTGAGTCATGACAGCACCGCTGCATTCCAGCCTGGGCAATAGAGCCAGACCCCATCTCAAAAAACAGACAAGAAAACGGTTGAGTTAGTTTTGTGTAGAGCTGTGCTATTTGGAATAATGGAATCTGTGTGCACGTACCAGCTATAAAATACAAACTATGTGATCTCAGCAATTTTGCTTTTATTTGCTTTTTATTTATTTATTTGTTTATGAGACAGAGTCTTACTCTGTCACCCAGGCTGGAGTGCAATGACATGATCTCGGCTCACCACAACCTCCACCTCCTGAGTAGCTGGGATTACAGGTGTGCCACACCACACCCGGCTGATTTTTGTATTTTTAGTAGAGATGGGGTTTCACCACATTGGCCAGGATGGTCTCCCTCTCCTGACCTCGTGATCCACCTGCCTTGGTTTCCCAAAGTACTGGGATTACAGGCGTGAGGCACCACGCCCGGCCAACACTTTAACATTTAACATTTTTCTTTACTTTAGAAGGACATTAAATAGCAAATAAACACCCTGGCTAACTTGGCCAGTAAAGGAAAGGAAGGCCTCCCCTGCCGGCACGTTCACGGAGCCTTTTCCTGCCTTCTGAATAAGGGGCTGGGAATTCTCGTCCTGTGGCGGCTCCCCAGATTGTGTGGCAGGCCCTGCAGATGGCAGAGGGGACTGGTGCTTCCTTGCAGAAAGCCAGGCCTGGACACCTCTTGGGAATGGCCTGGTGGGGTGACCCTCCCACACATAGCATGGAATCCTGGCCAACTCAGCATCCATCCGCTGAGAAATCAAGGTGACCCTGTGGCTCAGCCCTCAGGGGGCGCTTGCCACACAAGAGGGCCCTTTCAAGACCCCCTGTTCAGCACTCGGGCCCCCAGGAAGGGTTGAGGCAGCTTCCCAGGGCTCTGTTCTTCCCCAGGAGCTGGGCCTGGGAGCTGGGGTCTTCTCATCTCCCCCCAGGCCTCTGCTGCTGCTCCTGGCCGCCATCCACCACCCCCCCACACCGAGATGCTGAGAGCAGGATACTTGTCTGTGTGGGCTTGGGAGGGGGAGGCAGCCTGGCAGAGGGTGGGGGTCTGAGAAGCAAAGGCTGTGGCAGGGCCACTATGCACTTCTGAAGCCTCTACTTGCTGGTGTCTGGCCAGAGGCCACCCCCCTCCTCCTGCCCTCATCAGGACAGACAGGCCTTCAGGGCTGTGCGTGGGCAGAAGGCTGGAGCTGTGGGGCAGAAGCATCCCGGCCTGGCCTCAGAGGAGGGAGGCCACAGTGAGAGTGGAGGCTGTCTGTACCAACCTCCCCAGACTTTGGCCACAGCCTCCCTTTGTCACTGGGACCTCAGCCTGACCCCGACCCACCCCGGGCTGCTCACCGAGGTGGGGACCCTGCCCACCACCAGCTCAGATGCAGTGTGTGGACTTCCCTCTCTCTGGGGCTGAGCGGGAGCCCCCTCCCCTCCACACCAGGAGGCTGGGAGAGAGCTGGAGGGCCTGGGATCTCCCTGCCCTGGTCATCAGCCCCAGCCACTGACGGTCCCTGCGGCGCCGTGTGTGGCCTGGGTTTGGAGCTCGGCACCCCACCAGCCGGGAACTCTATGAAATCTCCGATTTTCTCTGAGAACTTCCCCCGCACGTGCGTCGCCCTGTCAGGTGGCCGCATGTGACCAGCGGTAACAGCTCTCTGAATGTTGGCAGCAAGCACAGGAAGCCAGTCCCCAACATGCCTGCTGCCCAGAGGGCCTGTTTCACCCTCACGACACCCGACGTGGCAGGGATGGGGATGAGGAGCAGAGGCCTGGACCTCTCAGGGTCCCAGCAGGGGAGGCCTGTCTGTCACGAGTGTCTGATGAGCGTGGAGAGGAGGTGGAGCCCAGCACGGCTGCTTCTAAGGGAAGGGTGGGCAGTGCGGGGGGAGGGATTCTTCGTTGATTAAGTGCCTACCGTGTGCCAGGCCGGGGGAGGGGATTGTGTTGATTAAGCGCCTACTGAGTGCCAGGCTGGGGGAGGGGATTGTGTTGATTAAGCGCCTACTGAGTACCAGGCTGGTGGAGGGGATTGTGTTGATTAAGCACTTACTGAGTGCCAGGCTGGTGGAGGGGATTATGTTAAGTGCCTACTGAGTGTCAGGCTAGGGGAGGGATTCTGCATTGATTAAGTGCCTACTGTGTGCAGTGCTGGGAGAGCAGTTCTGGAGTGATTAAGCACCTACTATGTGCCGTGCTGGGGAGGGTTTCTGCATTAATTAAATGCCTACTGTGTGCAGTGCTGGGAGAGGAGTTCTGGAGTGATTAAGCGCCTACTGTGTGCTGGGCTGGGGAGGGCTTCTGTGTTGATTAAGCGCCTACCACATGCCAGACTAGGGGAGGGATCCTACATTGATTAAGCACCTACTGTGTGCCAGGTTGGGGGAGGGGTTCTGCATTGATTAAGCACCTACTGTGTGCCGGGCTGGGGAGGGGTTCTGCATTGATTAAGCACCTACTGTGTGCTGGGCTGGGGGAACGGTTCTGTGTTAAGCACCTACTGTGTGCCAGGCTGGGGGAGGGGTTCTGCATTGATTAAGCACCTACTGTGTGCCAGGCTGGGGAGGGGTTCTGCATTGATTAAGCGCCTACCGTGTGCTGGGCTGGGGGAGGGATTCTGCATTGATTAAGTGCCTGCCACATGCCAGGCCCTCTGTGAGTTTCACTTAATTTCTTGCCACAGCCTTGGGAGGGGGAGTGGTTAACGCTGTATTTCAGATGAGGAAACTGAGGCTCAGGTGAAGACACTTGTCCAGTCCCGTGGCTTCGGAAGGTGGGGAGGGGATGTCAGCCTGGGCTCGGGAGAGATAAGGAAGCTGAGGCTTGGAGCTTTGTGGGGCCTGGAGTGCTGTCCTCCCGCCTCCCGCCTTCATTCAGAGCAGCAGACCCTGTAGCACCTGGGGCCTCTCCTGCCACTTCCTGACCAAGGGATGGGGGCTGCATGAGACACAAGTCTGGGTGTCCGGTGGGAACGGGCAGGGCCCGGCCAGTCCTGGCACACGGTGACTCTGCCTGCCCTGTGCGGCAAGAGCCAGCCTCTCCCAAATCTCACTGTCCACCAGTGCCCACCACCCCTGCAGCCGCTGCTTCCTGCCCCCATGAAGGCAGCCTTCTCCCGGGGGCTGCTCCAGCCCTCCACCGGGGAGGCGAGTCAAGGGGCCTGGGACCCCACCTGTGTTCTTGTCTCTGTCCGTCCTCGGCTGTCACCAGCTTTAATTACCCTGGCTCCATCGCCCTAGCCCCTGCGCAG